CCATACTGCCCAAGGTTATTTATAGATTCAATGCCATCCCCATCAAGTTACCAATGAGTTTCTTCACAGAATTGGAAAAAACTGCTTTAAAGTTCATATGGAACCAAAAAAGAGCCCACATCTCCAAGACAATCCTAAGTCAAAAGAACAAAGCTGGAGGCATCACGCTACCTGATTTCAAACTATACTACAAGGCTACAGTAACCAAAACAGCATGGTACTGGTACCAAAACAGAGATATAGACCAATGGAACAGAACAGAGTCCTCAGAAATAATACCACACATCTACAGCCATCTGATCTTTGACAAACCTGAGAGAAACAAGAAATGGGGAAAGGATTCCCTATTTAATAAATGGTGCTGGGAAAATTGGCTAGCCATAAGTAGAAAGCTGAAACTGGATCCTTTCCTTACTCCTTCTACGAAAATTAATTCAAGATGGATTAGAGACTTAAATGTTAGACCTAATACCATAAAAATCCTAGAAGAAAACCTAGGTAGTACCATTCAGGACATAGGCATGGGCAAAGACTTCATGTCTAAAACACCAAAAGCAACGACAGCAAAAGCCGAAATTGACAAATGGGATCTCATTAAACTAAACAGCTTCTGCACAGCAAAAGAAACTACCATCAGAGTGAACAGGCAACCTACAGAATGGGAGAAAATTTTTGCAATCTACTCATCTGACAAAGGGCTAATATCCAGAACCTACAAAGAACTCAAACAAATTTACAAGAAAAAAACAAACAACCCCATCAAAAAGTGGGCAAAGGATATGAACAGACATTTCTCAAAAGAAGACATTCATACAGCCAACAGACACATGAAAAAATGCTCATCATCACTGGCCATTAGAGAAATGCAAATCAAAACCACAATGAGATACCATCTCACACCAGTTAGAATGGCGATCATTAAAAAGTCAGGAAACAACAGGTGCTGGAGAGGATGTGGAGAAATAGGAACACTTTTACACTGTTGGTGGGATTGTAAACTAGTTCAACCATTATGGAAAACAGTATGGCGATTCCTCAAAGATCTAGAACTAGATGTACCATATGACCCAGCCATCCCTTTACTGGGTATATACCCGAAGGATTATAAATCATGCTGCTATAAAGACACATGCACACGTATGTTTATTGCGGCACTATTCACAATAGCAAAGACTTGAAATCAACCCAAAAGTCCATCAGTGACAGACTGGATTAAGAAAATGTGGCACATATACACCATGGAATACTATGCAGCCATAAAAAAGGATGAGTTTGTGTCCTTTGTAGGGACATGGATGCAGCTGGAAACCATCATTCTTAGCAAACTATCACAAGAACAGAAAACCAAACACCGCATGTTCTCACTCATAGGTGGGAACTGAACAATGAGATCACTTGGACTCGGGAAGGGGAACATCACACACCAGGGCCTATCATGGGGAGGGGGGCGGGGGGAGGGATTGCACTGGGAGTTATACCTGATGTAAATGACGAGTTGATGGGTGCTGACGAGTTGATGGGTGCAGCACACCAACATGGCACAAGTATACATATGTAACAAACCTGCACGTTATGCTCATGTACCCAGAACTTAAAGTAAAATAATAATAATAAATAAAAAAAAATAAAATAAAATAAAAAATCACACAAAAAAATAAAATAAAATAAAATAAAAATTCAAAAAAAAAAAAAGTTTGAATGAATGATCATGGTTGCAGGCCCACCATACAGCCAGAAGGCAGGTGCAGCAGCCTGAGATTTTTCATGAAACATTTCATGTAATTCGCTTACACAAATTATTCATCAATTAAATTGGGTCTAAGCATCTGCCCATCACACTGTCTGCTGCCAATCATCTTCCAGTGAACCCAGATTAATGAATGATGCTAACATTGGTAGTTAACATTCACTAGACCCTTACCTTTATGCAGGGCACTAGGCTGAGGATTTCATGTAGGTTATTTTTACTTACATCTCTCTATGCTTCTTTGTGGAATGTACAGCTGCTCCTCAACTTACGATAGGGTTAGATCCAGATAAACCCATCATAAATTGAAAATATTTTAAGTTGAAAATGCACTTACCACACCTAACCTACCAAACATCATAGTTTAGCCCAGCCTACCTTACATGTGCTCAAAACACTTACATTAGCCTACAGTTGGGCAAAATCATCTAACACAGAGCCTATTTTATAATAAAGTGTTGACTATCTCATGTAATTTATTGAAAATTATACTGAAAATGAAAAACAGAAAGGTTGTATGAATACTCAAATTACAGTTTCTACTGAATGCATATCACTTTCCCACCATTGTAAAGTTGAAAAATTGCAATTTGAACCTTCGCAAATGGGGGACTGTCTGTACTATTAGGCTCAGAGCCTTAAATTACTTGACCATTATGACTCAGCTAGACAGTGATGGGACTGGGAGCTGATCGCTCATCTAACTCCAGAGCACACACTCTTCTAATTATTATACTGCCTCAAAACAAAGTTTCCGTCTGGTTTCAAATTTGGGATTGTTGTGTACTGTGAAAGTGGCAATCATTTCATCTAAAAGAAGAGAATATAATTAAGTAGTTTGCTTAGACATGGTAAAATTGAAATTGTCTAGAAATATAATGTTTTATGAATGATACTGACGAAAACAAAATAGGTTTGAATAAAGCTATGCTATGCACTTATGTTTCCATCACTGTCATTCAGTGAGTGACAGATACACTATTTTGATTTACTATTGTATCAATAAACATGTTACAATTCATGAATAGATAACAATAGATGCTGTTAAGCTAAGTTTATTTTTTAGGTTAAAATGATGAAATAAACAACAATGGCAAACGTAACTGTATATCCAGTAGCAGCTACCCTAAATTCTCAAAGCAAGGAAACAAGACAATCCAACACATCATGTTGAGTCTCAAAGGGATTTTCTAGTCATTCATAAGCATAAAACACCAAAATGTTCAAAAATAAGACTCCCCCTCCAAAACAGTATTCTTTTTTGGAAAAGACCCCAGAGATCTGTGGGAAAATTAATCTTTATTTCCAAGTTAAACTTTGAATTTGTTATAAGATTAAAGAACTATGAGTATTTTGAAACAAAAGTTGTAGAAAGTGATCAGATTTTGAAAAGACCATGAAAAACTAAGAGCTGAGCTACAGCCCATGGAAATGACGGGAGAGATTTCTGAAACAGTTTATATAATGAGCTTTAATTCAGAGACTTTTTTTTTCCCTTTTGAGGAAACCCTCTGGCTTGAACACGTTCACAGGTCTTGTATGGCTTGTAACAAGCTGTGTTCTTTCTCCCTCTGGGACCTTGCTCAGGCTTGTAGTTTCATTTGAAAGAATAATTTTCGATATTTCCTAGGCTGAGCATTAATCCCTCCATTGCTTGATCGATTAAATCTCACTGTTTGTGTCTGGAAGGCGACGTCTGAGCTTTATGTATTGCTTTCTGGCAAGCTGCATTTCCATGCTCATGGAACAGATGCAGCTGGGTAACTGTGTGCAACAGGCTTTCAGCCCTCAAATCTTGGGGGAATGACAGGTGTGGCGTCTCATTTTAACTCAAGTTTCAAGGTCTCATAATTATACTGCTATCTGAGCCAGCTGATCAATTTGGTTCATACCTTTTGTATGGCATTTAATAGCTTACAAGGTGAGAATATATTATCTCGTTTGATCTTCACAAGAATTGTTTATAGGAAACAGAGCTCTATTATCTCTTATTTGAATAACGAGGAGAGGCTGTGACCTTTGTCCAGGGTCACATGGCCAGTAACTGGCAATCTGGTAATTAAAATTCAGATCTTTTGATTCTAACACCCGTGTTCTTTTATGATTCACATAAAAAACCTGAGATTGGAGAATTATAGAGGGCTTTCAAAAAGATCCACGTTATCTATGTGCTCTGAGTCCCGAAAACTAACTGTAATATAAATGTCACATTGTGGCTCACTCGAGCAGAGCAAAACAAAGAATATGCCATTTCAATGTTGCCTCGAGGATAAGAAGTCTTGGAGAAAATTGCTGGGATACTTTGAAAAATCCTAAATGTGATCAGGCAGGCCCCTAGAAGGTAAGTCTGTCTGCCCTGTAAGGGACCTGTAGCTCATAAGGTCTCAATGCCTGGCCTGGCCTTTGCATGTGTTTCACCTGCATATGTTCTATTTCTCCAGCTGTAAAATCCTGGGTGTAAGTGTATTGTTTTGGTCTTCTGCAAAGGGGAATCTTTATCTCAAGATTTTCAAGTGCAAGTACCTTATCAGGGAGAAGAAACACCAGTAGGAAAAGGCGGCTGTAGTATAGGGAAGACACAGTGGCCAATAAAGGGTACATTATCCAGGCAGCTACCCCTGGAGATTAATCCCACAAGAAAATCTTCGACATGATGTAAAACACACACCACAGAGACACACTCCCCTGAGGGGTGAGAGGCGGGTGTTCAGATGCTAGCTCCCCTCAGGCTTTGTTCTTCTTATTTTTTTTTGCAGTGCAAAGTGAAAGCAAGTTTATTAAGAAAGTAAAGGTATAAAAGAATGGCTACTCACAGACAGAGCAGCCCTTCAGTCATTGTTGAGAGCTGCTGGAGTGGGAGGTAATTCCCCACCTTCCTGCCTCCTGTGCAGGAGAGAAGAGTGGCATTCCGCATTCCGTAGCTTAGGAAAAAGTTCCTAGGCAAAGAAAGGCAGATCCCGGCAGGGTAATGTCTCTGGTAAAAGGCCCGAGGGATATGGTTCTGCTATAACAGGATCTAGATCTTACATTTCAAAAATTATCTTTCAATGCTTAAAATAGTATTTGGGATACTACAGTCCCCTGATAACTGTGGACATAGCAACGTGATATGAGAGTATATGTGAGAAATGCTTACAGATACACATTAAATCTGTACCAGCAAAAGAATATGGAAAGAAAGAAAGAACAAGAAGGGGCTAGGAAGGCACCCTGCACCATCGTTGCTTTGGCATGAGGAGTCATCTCTACTCACACTTTCTCATAAATCTTGTTGGGATGCTCTGGCCATTCGATCATGCATACGACTCTGCTGGGCATGGTCTCTGTGGTTGAGTAGTAGCCCTGGGGGAAGGCCAGCAGGAGAGCCAGGACCCAGATGACACAGATGACCACTTTGGTGGCCGTGGCGGACAGCCGGGGCTGGAGGGGATGGATGATGGCCATGTACCTGGAACAGAGAAGAAAGAATAAAATTCTGATTTGGTCACCAAAATCTGCATCAGAGATTCCATATTTTTCCTGCCAATAAGAAAATTCATGGAAACCCTTTGATTCCTGATGATTTATACAATTATTTTCCAATTCCTTTTCCATATTCTATCCCTAAGCTTTATGATATGCCATACAATGCCATCATGCCTAAGAAAAGTCAGCTAGATTTTTCAGTATTTCAGAACCCATCTAGCAACATTCAAGGAGAGATATTTTCATTATTGAAATGCTTGTGCTGGGGACAGGACAGCCAAGTATAGGTAAGTGAAATCAGAAAAATAAGAACAATGTTGTAAATTTATTTAATGTAAAGACTGACTTTCATTCTTTCTGGATTAAGGGATAATGGTGATCACAATAGTAGTTTTTTCAATCCTTATGTGATATTATAAAAGGTTAGCAGTCCTACCCCAGTCCATACAATTTGAGGGGAAGTAAACATGTCTCTGTGACAAAGTATTGGCCTAAAGTCAGCAAAAAACAACAGCTCCTGGAGAAATCGTGATCAATTCTTTGAGCATCTAGGAGTCAGTGTGTGGCTAACTATACATACTTCATGAGGAGAAAGACGGTCTCTACCTGCTAAGGCAGACAGACTAGAATGCACAAAGGACCAGTGTGGATGACATTTCATTGCAGGAAGAGTGGAGCACAGCAAATGATGACTTCATGTCTGGAGCCATTCCTCCACCTCCTCATTCCTGGGCTCTGGCACTAAACAGTGTCATCTGAATGAATGCGCCCACATGTTTGCATTTGTGCACAGCCCCTGAGATGTTGCAGAGATTTGAAGGATAAGTATTTCCTATCAGCCTTTCATATCAGTGATAAGCACATCAATTCTGCCTCTTTCATTTTCAAAGACATCTCTCTATGCATATTTTTCTTGTAAAGTTTATAGCTCTATACCTTAAAATAAGCATTTTTTAAAGAGAAGGAATGATACCTTATAGGGCCTTTGGCTTTTAAATATTATCTGACAAAACCTCAGAATCACACATTGATTCTCTGACAGTCAGGTGTTTCCAACATCCATGGGACGGAATGGTCAACGGAGACTTAAAAAATCTGCAGACAAAGAGCAGCACAGCTGTCAGCTGGCTCCACATCATTCCACATAATCTTTTGCTGTATTCTTTGGACTCCTAGGATCTCTAGACCAGAATTAGGGCCAGGGTTACAAGTAAAGCAATTTCATTCAGTATGCGCTCAATCAATTCCCACTGGGCACCTGCCACGGTGGAGCACAGTGTTTCCTTCTGGGCTATGAGCTTGTAATTTCTCCAGGGAGAAAAGGTGCATCAAAAAGCAGCTCAAAACACAGCAGTAGGATAAGTGACCTCAAGTGGTAATTGGATCAATACTTAGAGTCTTAGGGGAGCTGCAGAGACACTCAAGCCCTGGAATGGCAGGTGGTCTACTGGAGGGGCTTCAAGAGGTGTGCTGGATTTGGGTGAGCCTGCTGAGCATCCTGCCCCAACGGCAGGAAGCATTTGCAGCTTTCTTCTTTCTCCATGTTAGGATTAGGCTTTGTTTGCATGAAGGCTTCCTTTAGCATCCTCTTAGCACTGTAAACTTTAGAAACTTTTCTCTGCATTTTGGTGCTAGGGACCTGGGCTTTCCTTCTGTGGTCTGTAAGGGCCACTGAAAGTGTTTAGCGTATAGTGTCTGACTACTAGGAGGACACTTCATGTCAACCTTTATATCAGAAGTCATGACGACTCCCAGGAAGGAAACTCCTAGAAACTCTTCCTTCTGCCTCTTTTAGAAAGTGGGTAGGTGGTCTTAAAGTCAGGAGAGAGTGGAATTATAGGGAGGGACTTGGAAAAGATATGATGTTGGGGGTGTGTAGTAATCTATACATCTCTGGGCAAGTTTCCCTGGTTCTGTTGATGCTGTAAAGCCTATCACTCAAATGCTGTCTGAAGGTCATCAAAAGGGCTAAAACAACTCTCACGATGTTGCAAATCAAGCATTGTCTGTTTTCTTTAGGTTACCTGCAAAGGGCCATGACTACTGCCAAGGCAGGTCCAGGACACCATAGGCTAGATGACCTTCCATCTCTGCAGTAGTCCCCTGAAAAGGACCCTGAGAAGTGTTGATATCTCCCCTAGACCTGTGTCTTCCTTGATGCCTGACAGTGGTGGAGCCCTGTATCCTCTTCAGTCATGGGGTGGGGTGGGTGGGGGAAACTCAGAGCCAACACATGTGGGCCTGTTCAACCATTATCGTTGCCATCTTTCCAATTCAGTGAAGGGCTGGACCCAGATGGTCATGGCCAGAACCTCTTTGAGTGTTTGTATTAAAACCATAGGATTGCTTATTTCCCAAAGGCAAATTGTTTTCCCCCTACAAAGCTGGAAATGCAGCCGTGAAGATGCCTTATCTCACCTCCAGCACTGCACAGTTCCTACCCCCGCTGGCAGCTGCGCATTCTCAGGCTTCACAGCACCTTAAGGAGGACGCTCAGGGGAGAATGTGGTAATTACATTGCCCTCTTTTAATATTACCTCAAATGCAAGATTTTAATTTGTTTCTCATTCAGGATAAATACTCAGTCTTAAATAAACAAATCCTAACACCACTCCCCATGCTCAGATTGGCGATACACCATTCAGAATCTAATGTGACTGGGCTTTTGGGGGATTGCATCAGTGTATTGGCACTGTAACTCCAAATGGGTGGCAGAAAGCCATATTTTATCCTTATTGCAAAAGTTGCAATTTGGGAACCCATTTCAGTTAACTCTCTGCCGTTCCTTGAGTGTAGGAGCCATTTTAGTGACAGATGAAAGTATTACCCACATAAAGCCAGAGAGAAAAAAAAAAGATTGGCTTTAAAAAATGTATATATGTTCATTTGTTCAAAGCAGAGGTATTTGTAAATCTCCCTCCCTCCTTCCTTCCCTCCTTTCCTCTCCTTCCTCCTTTCTTCTATCTCTCTCTTGCAATCCTCATTTCTGGGACTTGTTTAACATGTTTTTTTCTTATTTACCCAAAAGCTAGCACCATTTGGATAACCTGTACACAGATGGATGAACATTTTCTTTCCTATTCCCCATTTCTAGCTTGGATCCATTAACATACATTTATATATTTTTCTGGAACCACCCTGAGCAATTCTTGCTTATTTGGTTACGAGCAAGTGCTGCAAGCCCAAGGAAAATACATTTAATAAATATTTATTGACTGCATCATGCTCACGGGACTCTAAGGCAGTCAATGAAACGTCCTTCTGGTTTAAGCATTAATCATCAGGCTGCCAGAGACGGGGGTCTGGAGGTGTGTGGGATGTGGATTATGTTCTCTACTTCAGGTGGTTCCAGTCCCACCGAGGGCCATCAGCTCTGATTTGAATTGTATGTGTCCTCCCAGCTGAAAAACCTGAGATGTAGCCTTCCTCTTGCATGATGATGCTTTATGAAAAGAACTCTCTGCTGCACATTTTTTTTTTCTCGTAGGCAGTGTGAAACAATCTTACTGTGAAAAAGAATTTCAATCCTCTGACAAGCAGCAGTATCTCCATAACTTCCTCTTACACCAGTCCCAAAACACTCGGCAGAGAGAATGTCTTTCCTCTACTATGAGATTTGTCCAGTGGGGCCCTTCTTCCACAGTCTTTCTCATCCAATTCCAGTTCCTGCCCTCGCTTCTCCCACTCACTCCTGGGGTGTTACAAGTTTCCTTTAAGGGACCATATCTTCCTGAGTTCAGATAACCAGGGTGGTAATAGCTGAGAGTATGGCTGCTGTAGTCTAGCTCGAGGATTGGCAATTTTTTTCTGGGAAAGACAGATACTAAATATTTTGAGTTTTGTGATCCATATAGTTTCAGTTGTAATTATCAAACTGTATCTTTGTAGTATGAAAACAGTCACAGACAGCAAGGAAACTATTAGGCATGACTGTATGATAATAACATTTTATTTACAAAAACAGGAGGTAGGCTGCATTTGGCCCCTGGCCCATAGCTTGCTGTCCCCAGGTCTAGTTTACGGGAAGTGAAGAGCAGGAGGAATTAGAACCATAGGAGAAGATGGTGTAATATTCAGAAACACTCTTTACCTTTGGCAGATGGGAACTCATTGGGTAGATAACTCCTGTGTCCCACAAGCAGTCAGTAAGGTGGTCTATGGCCAGTCATGACCCAGAATCACATATGGCCCTGGTTCTTATGTGAGCACAGTGGTCAATCTGGGATGTTTTTCCTCCTTGATCCCTTCCTGGCTGCTCCTGTTTATTTTCACAACTTGGCCCAGTCATCATGTCCTTGTGGCTGGGTTTGGTGCCCTACCTTTACTGCTGTGAAGATCTCTAAATCTTGTGCTGACCATGTTTCACTTTATTTTCTGTTTTCTTTTTTTCTTTTGAGACAGTCTCGCTCTTTCACTCAGACTGGAGTGCAGTGGTGTGATCTCGGCTCACTGCAGCCTCTGCCTCCCGGGTTCCAGTGATTCTCATGCCTCAGTTTCCCAAGTAGCTGGGATTACAGGCACCCGCCACCATGCCCAACTATTTTTTTTACATTTTTAGTAGAGAAGGGGTTTCACCATGTTTGCCAGGCTGATCTTGAACTCCTAACTTAAGTGATTCGCTCTCCTTGGCCTCCCAAAGTGCTGGGATTACAGGCATGAGCCACTGTGCTGGGCCTCTATTTTTCTATTTTCATATCCTTCTTTTCTCTTATCACCCTCCACAGGTCCTTGGCCTGCCCAGGTGCCTAGAATGTAGTAAATACTCAATGAAAGTTTGGTTGCATAAATGATATCTTGGCACATAACAGTGGTTTCATAAAGCCTTGTTGAGTGAAAATAAATGTAGCAGGAGAAAAGCGTATATGGTATACCTTTATTCCTCCCAGTCTAAACACATGTAAGACTGTTGTGAGAATAATTATTGCTCAAAGTGTTTTCTGTCATATAGACATCTCCCAGGATCATCCTGCAGGAGTGACCTCA